TTTTAAGTGGGAGAAATTGCACAATTGGCGGCTGACTAAATACTTTTTTGCCCCACTGTATATAGTTTGTAAAACATTGTCATTAGCAATGATTGACAACCACAATTTTAGCATATGTTAACTGAAATCCTGACTTAAGGAATGTTATATTTAAGCATTGTGTACAACTAAATCAAAATAAAAGAAAATGTAAACAATGGAAGTGCTTTGGTCTGGGCACAGCTTTAGTTATGCTTAAAATGTTGAAATTGTGTATAATAATTTATGTGACAATCCTTTTGTGATTATTTTTTACAGAGAAAGACACAATGGATGTCTGGTGCAATGGTAAAAAAGTGGAGACAGCGGTACGTAACATCAAAGAACATAACTTCAAGAAGATTCTTTCAGTTGAAAACAATTAAGCAAGTCATAAGTTAGAGATGATATTTAATAGCATCCTTCTCTCCTCCCCCAAGAAATGGAAAATTAAGACAAAATCAACAGCTGGGATGGCTAAATACCATAAAAAGCAATCATAACTAGCATAATCCTGTAGAATTTTAAAGATTATAATGGGTGGGAAATTTGTGACCTTCCAAATGCTATAACTACTAGAAACATTACCAGTTATCATTCTGGCTGGGGCTGCTGGGAGTTACAGTTCTACAGCAACCCAATATAAAATAAGCAATAGGAGTGTCACAAGTTCATTTTTTGATGATACAGACACAAGAAAGAAGATAAGCAGAGTTGTATTTTACCCATGCAGGAGTCACTGCTATTGAGCAGATGCAAAAGTGCCACTTTATTTTTACAAACATAAAGACATAATCTTGACCCTTCCTACTCCTGTGCCTGTCTTACTCCTAATTCCTAATCTCCAGACTTCTCTTTATTATTCATAATGCACTCTAGTACCTTTTCTTTAGATTTAAGTACTGTGGTTTTTATGTTTCTTCCATATCTCAGTTTCAGTCTGGGAACAAAATAAGCTATGAATCAAGCTTTTTCAGTGTCTCCAAATTGGTGACTGTCTCTTTAAATGATGCTGAGTTCACTTCAGCCACTCTATCACATTTCACTTTCATTTCTCTTTTTTCCACTTCTCTTGCCAGCCTTTTGTCATCAAGTTACTGCTTTCCTTATAGTTTTGTTTAGTAGCTATGTCTGTTGGATGAGTCACTTGGAGGCAAGCTTCAGCTCTGCCAAGCCGTTGTATCTCTATTCTTTGCTTCACTGTTGAAAGCAGGACTGACTTATACATTAGGCAAAATAGGCACAGTGTTTTAATTTTTTTTAATCAGAAAAAGATAAAAATAAAGTAGAAGTTACTTATTTTCATGCCTTTAAATAAATACTTATTTTCATGCTTTTTAATAAAAACATGCAAAAAAACCCACAAAACATGAACATCAAACCAATTACAGTGGAACCTCGGGTTACGAATTTAATTCATTCCGTGACTCTGGTCGCAT